GGTACAAAATGCCTCCCCCCTGTGGCCGAACAACGTCAGGCACTTCTTTTGTAGCTGCGAGTCCAAGACCTGCTCTGTTAGATGAAGAAAAAAAAATCTATGACTGGTTTCCGACTATTCAGACCACTTTACTATCTTCTGGTATCTCCATCTTATCTGGTCGCCATCTTCTTATTTATAAGGTCAAGTTGAATGAAGGTAAAACTTCCTGCATGTGCAAGTGTCCGCCAAATAACTTTTTAGAATCGTCTTGAAGAGTGGCGGCGGTCAGATAACATCGGAACAGTTCTTTTTCGGAGGGTCCTTGAAAAATCAAGAACAAAGTGTTCTTCCGATGGTAATGAGTAGTTGAAGGTCAGTTTTAGAATGGTTAAAGAAATCCATATCTCCTTACAGCTGCAAAAGATTTTACGCAGAAAAATGATGTTTATTGCAGTTCCCAGAGTTGTGAGACCCAGCGACGACCAAGGGAAAGACGAGTTTATGAGCTGATGACGAGTTCAACTTGTCCCTTTTGACGGGGGAACGAATAGAGTGAAGAATATGAACTATTATCAGTCGGATCAGGCTCAGCGTTGTTCGGCGATATGCCAGCGCTGTTCGGCAACGGGTTTACCTTCACTGTTTTACCAGTTCCGGTTCACAAGTTCCGCTCTGGTGAAACCTGTGAACACTTGTGAAGCTGGAGCAACCAGCTCACATGGTAAAACCCGTCAACTCTTGTCTTGCTCATGAAAGAGCTCTCTAGATGGGTCGGTGTGCAAAATGCCCCCCCCCCGTCGCCGAACCGCGCCTAATATGCCTTCTAACTACAATACAAGCGATCATGAGGAGCCTCAAAGGCGGGACGTCACCAGCTGGGACTGCAGGTGAATGCCAGCTGGGACTTTACTGAAACCAAATCATGGCAAAAGGTGGCCAAGACAGGAGGAAGCGACGAAGAAGTCGATTGAGACCAGCGGCTTCTCCGATAGCCAGATACCACCGCTCAGGAAAAGAGAATGAAGGAGAGTATTATTAGACTCTATAAGTAAGATATATCTATAAGTAAGATACTATTCCATGCCTGACAAAAGCGCTAACCGCCGAAATGTTCTCGGAAGCTTTCAAAGCTTTTTCAGGTCTTTCCAATCAACTAGCTTGCAGATATGCATAGGGATTTAGGACAGCGCAATACCTAGCTACTGCTAATATAAGTTGTTCCAGTGAGATTAAGTAACGGGCTAAAACTAGTATTTTTAACGAAAATAAAAATAAGTTCGAAGTACCGCAGGTAAGGTTAAGTATGAACTCATTCCAATGTAAAAAAGCACCTCCCGGCGTTGAGGAGAATTTTTGCTAAATAAGACTCCCCTTCATATTCCGTCCTCCGGTACGACATCTAGGACCCCCTCCCTCACCCGAACAATCTCTTACCAAAATTTCCCAAATTTTCGTCGTTGATCGGAGCCCAGGACAATGACACTCCTCTGATGCTTGCAAAAGGTTACCGCTGGCGGAATATAGCCGCGCATCTCTTCCATTGTGCCGCTCTCCACACCGAGGGCAGCCTTACACAAGCACCTTACAGTCCAAGATCAGAGTATGCTTTGATCACTATCTACGGCTTTCTCTTCCCTGAGAATAATCTACTCAAGAGCGTCAGAAAATGAGAAACTAAGATTTTATAAGATACATAAGGAAAACAAGAATAAGTAGAGCAAATACTAAAGGAATGTGGCTCACTTTAAAGAACATACCAGATCAGGTAAAATATGGCCAGAGTTTATATAATACCGTTCCGGTACAAAAATAAAACGTCGCCACTAAATTAATTCGGTGACACCAACCACATGGATAGAACTTCTGGCCGCCTAAAGGATAAAGTCTTCGCCTTAATCAATTACCGATTGTGCCAGGATGCGGCACGCACCCTCCAACTTTCCATTCAGGAATCGTTAATGTATTGGTCCTGAGTTGAATGACGACGCTGGCTATATCAATTGATTTTGCGGGGGCCAGCTGAATGCTACAAGTCAGTGATGCTTATGGCCCTCCCGACGAATCTGGTACCAATTACGTCCCCGGAGATCTTAGCCCAGCGCTTGGCGTTGGGCCTGCCATCGTCCGGACTTCGCTTGCGACCCGGCGATTTACAACGGCGCCAGCTGCGTGGTCTCCTCCCCCGCATCTTTCCCCAACCGCCCCCAGCGAAAAGTAGGTAACGGCGCCTTGCATCATTGTTCATTCTACACCACTCGCGCTCGTCAAATATCTGCGTGGGGCTGTTCCACACATATTCCGCAACTTAATAAGGACACGGCCTATATGGTTTCCATGATAGGACAGTTCACCTTCGCGTTCCTTGTGGGTGATAGCCGTCGATGATTTGGAGAAACCCGCGCTTGCGCTGCATATCATCCGAATCTCATCGCAACAGTCTACTCTCCGCTTCCTCTTCGTCACGTTGTCCCCCCATTTCGCGCGGATGGAGCCGATTAAGAGGGAGTCATTATTCGCAGGGATTCCAAATTTAGCTTTACGTTCAGCTTTTGGCACCCTCTTGCTTCGATTGCTCCGGCTAAATTGATTTCAAAAACTTGTCACGTTAAGCTAAGTGAATGTACGATGATCTCCCAGGTAAGTTAGGCTTCACTGCTTGCGAATCGCAATCGCGAAATGTGCCTTTAAGTTCGCTTCAATACCGATGAAATTTCAGAAAATCAAGAGACAAATAGCTCTGCCCCGGAAGATTCTAATAAAAATAGGACGCTTGAAAGTAAAAAGGGGCATTCAAAGGGCTCCTTGTGCAAAGCTGGGATGCTAGCCATCCTCGATCTTCTCTGGAGGATGGCTAGCATCCTTCAGGCCCGAGCAAAAATATTTATACTCATTATAGTAGTCCTACTTTCACACCGAGGCCCCTTAATGCCTTCTTCGACGTTATGAGCGCCAAAAAAGCTTCTAAAAACCTTTGCTCATAAATTACCTAGGGTAATATTACCTACCTAGTTCACAAATCGCCACATATCCACCAGCTTCAACCGTACTGCCAATGTTCAGCTTACGATTTGTCTCCGTTACACAGCCTTTTGGGTCGAGACGGCCTCTTCTGCATTCATACCAGTATCTTCCTAGAGAACACACAGCTACCATTTTTTTCAAATTTCTATCGTAATATCACCAGCAATCACAAATGTCAACAGTCGTCGTTTCACAGTAAAGAAAAGGTCTCACCTCGAGTAAGGGTCTCGCCTTCATTCCACCAACGTGCCGGTTGGCCGTTTCCGCTACTCCAACATCTGAAAACGAATCGTGATAAAGTCCGAAAAAACGTTTCAACACCATCTATAAAAATCCAAGGCCACTTTTAGGAGGGGGGGGGGTATCTAAGCAGCCAAAAACGTACCGATTTGGATTATAGGAACTCGATGAGTAAGCGTATAAACTAGGCAGTAATAGGAGGAATACTGTAGTTAAAATTTGAAATACCATTGTCTTGGGTGAAGTGATTGAATGTCGTCGGCAACCTTATATAGAGCACAGAAATCCGGTGGCCTGGTCGAGTGTGGGCGTGGTCAGACGTGTTGTCCTACTAGTACAGGGCTAACGGCGCACGTGCACGATGAACGCAAACGGACGGTCCTCCACCGGTTCGAGAGGGGGTGGAGCCGGAAAATTCGCACCAGTGGGCGGAGCTACCGATGACGTACCGGGAGAAAACCTACGAACAAGTAAGAAACAGGTAACGTTTGTTTAGTGTTTATTGTTGTGGGGGACGTTCGAAGGTATGTATCGTTACGGTTCGTTACTCAGCGGACGCGGGGGTGGCATAGACGACGCTTGGAGGAAGTGAACTCATTTCCGGTTCGAGCGCAATGTCCTCTTTTCTTTTAGGGGAAAGTAAATCGACATTCTGCATTTCTGCTGGAACTAATGGTTGCTTTGGACAGTGTAAGTGATAGACGGTGGTGGAAGATATATTGGATCGTCCTAGAAGGTAAAGAAGGCATAAGAAAACCAACTAAATCCTATTTTTGCGATTCAGCCGGTGACGTCGGCTTAAGAGGGGGCACTTTGCACTTCCGCCACTGCCCACCGTCGTGTTCATTGCTTTACAATAGTTGACCAAAATTCTTTACAAGAGTTGACAGGTAGCCACTACCAGTTCGACTGGTATCATCTCTGGCTTTTCAAGATTTCACAGAGCTCTACTTGTCGGCTCGACGTAGCGATGGGAAGTATCGAAAATGCAAAATGCCCTTCCTAAGCCGAACTACATCCAGCCGGTTTCTATGAAATCAGAATTCCAAGGAGTAATCAAATGTAAATGAATTAAATGAGAATCATCAGAAATGAATCCGGACAAAACTAACTCGAACAAGCATGACACTCAGACGGGACAGGACAAGAACATCCGCCAGAAATGATCCACCTTATCTCTTCCACGCCCTCTACCTTACCAAGAACGGACCACAGAAGCGCTCAAAAGCAGCACTGACTAACCCTTGGGAGACACCCTGCGCAGCCCTTCACGAATAAGCATCGCAGGGGCATTCCGAGTAGGTGTTTGGCAATGCAATGACTGAAGATGTATGCGGAGGTGTGTAGTGGTTAGCCAGCCCGCTTAACGAAAACGTACACTCGAATGCCGCTCCCGCAAGGGCCAACCTAAAGATTCTGCCTCCGGGCCTGCAAACGGGTGCCTAGTCTAAGCGATAAGCAACAGTGACTGGCATCGCTAGCCCGCATCCATAGTATGAGCCAGCATCCCATATCTATGAGGCCAATACTGATTCTGCAAATGTGGAGTAGAATGTATGCCATCCATAAAAGTTTGAAGGCGACTAATCTAATCTCTTTTACTTCATCCTCTCCTCTTCTGGTGAACATACACCTTCAGACAATTCACGCTCCAGATTCAGCAGATACGCGAGTTGACTGCTGGGGATCATTAGGAGTCTTTAGTGGAAGCATCACTTGGTACTGCTCCATTATTGCCTTTTCGCTTCTTCTTTTTTCGTCGAGAGAGATAAAAAAGTGCACCGATGAGGTGATAAATGAAAAACTGGATCTTAGGCAGCCGTATCTCTGAATTCTGGATCGGGATAATTCATCCGAACGACAATTTTTTTCCAAGCCGACCAAACAAATTTTTCCACTCCGTGATGGATTGGACGTACTCGCATCGTCCCGTGGCACTGGCCGGCTGTCGCAATCGCGGACTCAGTGGTGTGTGTGTGGAAAGAGATATCAGAGAAAAATTCGATTGTACTTCGAAGTTCGCAGCTGAAGCGGCGCCCAACAAATGGGAGTGAGGCCCGCAAAAGTCAAATCCTTTTGGATTGGGCCATGCACTGTATACGCCGATCTATATCGTCGATTTGGGTCCCAGTACGATTTTTCGCGGGGTCAGCAAATACCAAATATGAAAAGCAATACTTTGTCCTTCTGGGTGATTGTGAAACTAGTAAAAGCTCGGCAGTTATGATAGGCTTGGATGGCCTGGCCGGGAACCGCAGCAGTTTGACCTCTGCGTAAGCCTTGCACGGCCCCACATGCCCCTGCACCACCGCCTACCAAGTCTACTAATGAATGAAATGAGTATAACCTCACAAAATTCCTACGCGCAGGCACGTCAGTGGCACACAACCGCGGAATTTCTGTGGCTTACCACGACAAGAATGTGTGATTCCGCAATTCTCCGTAATTTTGAGCTCCGAAAACTTTCATGTCATCTAAAGTCAAGCTGGTCGTGTCGCGATCGCGCGCGTCGGAGGCCAACAAATTGTGCTTCCGAAGACTCTCAAGTCGACACCTCGCAAAATGTGCTTGAATTGATCGAATTGCTTGTCGATCCGGAATATTTGCACGTTATCAAGGTTTCTTGGTGAAGTATTGAGTAACACTGAGCCGATCTACTATGGGTACTGAGTAACATCAAGCCCGATCTAGTTTCCACATCATCCAACGTCTAACCGACTGCAGCGCGACCGCACGCGTCACATGCCAGCAAGTCGCGCATCCCGAAATCAACGCAAAAAGTGCATGTCTTTTTTCTCCCCAACAGTAGTGCTCCTTATCACGGTTTCGCAACTATTTGTAGGGCAAATCTAGTCAAAGTTCATCACGGGAATCAGTTAAACCGGTCCGAGTTGAAAGGTTGCCATTCATTTCCTTGCAAATCATGTGATTCTAGTTAGACTTTTGTTTTCAGCACCCAACAGTGATGAAACTGAAATTAATTAATCGGTCCTTTCTAATCGAATTTGCATTAATTTAAAAGTTGATAGGACCGGTTGTCACGGGTACCGCTATCACAAAATACCATATTCACGATACCAAAGTACAGGTTCATTGCCTTTCGAAGACACCTCGTAAACTATAGAACTTGAAAATACTAGGAACCAGTCCTACAGTGATCTTCATGGGTCAGTTGGACGGTCATGAATGTTCGGTTTCAGCGGTTTCTGCACCACTACAGGGTAACCGGATCGGATAGCCATCATGATTATGAGCCGATCAAACGTTTTACGAGTACTCGCTCATAACTACGTAGTCGTTCAATTGCCAGATTTCGTAATGGGGCAAAGTGAAAATGTGCCACATTCTGCAGATGAGGGGGTTGTTTAGCCGGTTTACGTCCATGTTTACCCAATCATCTATACCATGTGGTAGAACATTCCAAAATTCCAAAGCCTTGACCCAAATACCCGAGAACGTGGGCGAAGCCGCCGCAAGCAATGAATGGAACGCGCAAACATTATGCGCTAAAAAAGCTCGGGCCAAAATAGCTATTCCTGAGCCCAGTTGGCTAAAAACAGCATATCCGTCTCGGAAGTCTTTCTAGGCTATGACGGGATCGCGGATAGCTCCGGTTTCTGCGCCTAAGGCATAGCTTGGAAGTTCAGAGAGCGAATGAGAGTTACACCAATGGTTCTTCAGTCAAACTGTAAGTTCCCTCACGCTGGGACCATGACAGCACGATGTTTTTCTATAGCTCATTCTTTTCATTCATTCATCTGTTAATAAGAGTGCCAGAGGTAGTTTATTTTCGCATTCTGACCAGAGTATACCATCAGGTTACCAGGAGTTATGCAGAATACCGCCACCCCTCCCCCAAGTTTCCTCCCCTTTCCCAACCTAAACCTGCCTACTTTCCCGCTAAACTTCCCCAACCCAGATATTAATTTAAACCGGCAATGATCAGGGGTGAGGGGGGGGGAGCGCCAGGAAAGAACCGCGACCAAATTAGACCCCCCACTTCCATGAATTTCTCCCAACAAAGCAATACACAGAGCGAGATGGAGCGTTCAAGTGTCAGAAAAAAATTCTGCCGACAAAATGCGTTATCCCTTTCTGCAGCCGCGAGATACGACTCCCCCTCCCCATCCCGACTTGTTTTACACAGCGATGGTTGTGGCCTAGTTCCAATTCTTCTTGTTCTGCGTACCGGACGACTAAATATGATCAATTGGTTGAACCCTTTTCCCAGAAGCCCCAACATCAGCAATCTCGATATCTCAGAACCACAGCGTCATATACCAGCTCTTCCCCTTATCACCTCACTCTCACCGTTCAGAGTGGAGGGTAGCTAATAGTGGAGCTACTGGCTAGTACCTAGCAGCTACTGGGGCTGGCCTGGGCCTGAGCGGTGCTTACGGGCCTAGCTGTTCCTGCTAATTTTCACTTTTTGAATGCAAGTGAGACGCCAAATCACCTAACGGATTCGTTTGACGCCATTTGATTGAGAATGATGTGTAGCTTAGTGTAATCGAGAAACGTGGTTTCGAGTTGCCTTTTTTTGTTGTTTCTTATTTCTTTGAGAAAAATTCATTGAATTCCTCCCCCGCCTCACCCTCTCAGTACAACGCGAACTCGTATGAACGTCAGGGATGTGAAGGAGTTTTATGTGAGGCTATCTCAACGGTTCTTTCTGCTGTTGGTCCACAGCTGTGTCGACACAGTGGTTCTCATAATGAGCGCCATATCCACCATCTCGTCATCGCTCTTGTGCCTTTAAATTTGTGATCTGCCGTAGCTTTGCTGCGATACCATGGCACAATGTACAGATGCCAAGAGTTGTCGACGTGGTAGGATCAGGCTACGACACGTTGTGACATAAGAAGGCCAGAATCCTGTCCTAATACTGGATAGTCGTGCATATTTCTAACGCATGGCTGCTAACAACCCCATAATTCAGCTAATGTTGGATAAAAAACGAACAGGATCGGAATGGAAGGCTTAAATTCAATTTGCGTTAATGGCAAACTTTCGAGGACAAGTCGGAGCAAGGTAAACAAGGTAATTATTCACCACATCTTGCAACCTGCAACGAGCCAACAGATGGCAACAAATCGATGGAAAAACTGAAAAGAACACCGGGCAAACCTTACGACACGGCTACTGAATAGAGCAGATGGTTGTGCCAGTTACCTGGCTTCGAAGCTGGTTGCTTCTTGTGACGCCTTCAGGTTGCGAGAACTCCTGACTTCTAGAGAGCAGCCAACAGTCGGCAGCTAGTTGTAAGGGCCAAATCTGCACGATCTTGCTTATAGAGGGTAGACTAGCTCCTCCTTGGAAGGATGCGTGACCATCTGGTGACCATCTTGACTGCAAGTGTTTTTTTCTTAGAAATGATCACATAACACAAAGACGGAGTCCGCGCTAGGCGCATGGGCAGGACCGGGCCTACCATTGTGCGTTCATCATGCCTCATGCTTCATTCATACATCATACTTCCCCCTTTCTGAAACGAAACAGTGGAATGGTGCACCAGTGAGGACCACACAATGGCAGGGTCCGAGACCGCCCATATCATGAATGTGGACTATGCCTGAAACTACGAAAACGTTGCT